CTGATTCTTCTATATTCAAGGATGTCCACATGGAGATAATATAACATAATGGTAATGTATATTTAATACTCTAGGATTATTTTTTAACTTCTGCTTGCAATATTCCAGCAGTTCTGCATTCCTTAAGGACCAAGGATCATGCACCTTACCTGACAAGGTACCTGCCTATGTCAGTGAAATCTTCCTCTTTATCCCTTCTTTCATGTTTCCAACTATGGAGAATTATCTTTGCAAATTCATTTGTAAATTCAGAAGTCATAACATGGGAAAAAAAAATTCTTTATCTAAACTAAGGATTATTCCATTTCTAATCATAGTCACATCCTACAAAGCAGGATTAGAAACTCTGAGCAGAACAACCCTTGTAATGAGATGGAGCAGGGGGATTGTTCTACGTAGCTGTTCAACACCACATGAACTATATGGTCCACATTCCCACTCTCCCAAGTAGAAGTTTTATATTAAATCAGACATAATCTAACCTGGTAAAATTCAAAGAACAAGAGGACTTCAAAGGAAGGTGGATGCAGGGATAGATGTCTATAGAGCAAGTTTTCTTAGTAAAATTTTGTAATACAGATCAGCACTTTTAGCCCTTGAGAAGTCAAATTAATTCAAACCTCAAAAAAAAAAAATCAGATACCTAACAAGGAATTCCACAGCAAAGTCCATTGAGCAATATTTATTATCAGGTCTAGCAGCAGTGTATATATACCTCAAAGAAAAATCCTTTAAAAATCCAGTTCTCTCAACCCAGATGACTGGAAAGTTATCTAAAGACTTTCAAAGAATTTGCTTTGTGGATCTGAAAAATCCAGAAGATATTTAAATATGCATCAAAACTGAAGTACATGTTGTGATAAAAACGATTAAAAAGGATATTGCACAACAGGAAAWCAGTTTTATAGGCTGCAAAGTGGTTAGATATGTCTGGAATAGCATTAGAATCTGCATCCTTTTCCATATAAAGCCAGCAATGGTGAATGGCATTCACTACTGTTGTTCATTAATGCCTTGCAGATCTCCAGACACAGATACTACCTAACTAATTTAGGCAAATGAATTTATTCTCCATAATTGTTGGTCTGTCTGTACAGGAAGCTTAGATAGTACTCTAGAAGAATTGCTTCATTAAGCAGCTGAAACTTAGGTATTTACTACATGCTCCAATGAGATAGGCTGAATTCCACAGCAAGGCAGCAAGTTCTTCCTACATATCTGAGTGAATAGGTGGCTCAAGTGCCCATTCCAGGCAGCTGAGTTAGCACAAAAGCAAACTCAGCTGATTGCTCTAACTAAGCTATACTTAGCATCCCCTGTTTAATTAAGTCCTAAGCCAAATGACTGGAGAAAAAAAAAGCACATAAGTTAATTAATATATCATGATGCAGTGTGTGTGTGTGTATATATATATATGTATAAACAAGTTGACAGGATAATTAATAATATTTGAAAGGGAAAAAAGCAGGGGGAGGGCTTTAACCTACAGTTGGTTGCAAATACCTCAGGCCTCAGTCTATCTTTGTCAATTAAATGTTAAGATCCAGGGCATCTCATGCCTGTTTGCAAAGGTGTTATTTACAGCTAGAAGATTAGCTGTGTGGTTATTATCAGGGCTCAGTAATCTAAGGTATAGTACCTAAAATAGATTTAGCTCTGTCCCTTTTGTATGCAATGTATTTGAAGCCTATTAAAAATAGTTTTTAATTAAAACTGTAACCTTCATCTAAGATGTGTGCAAGTACTGGTTGTTAATTATAGATTAAACATCTCTGCTAGACTTTGAAATTGTACTTGAAAATAACCTCAATAAACTGAGCTCCAAGCTCAGTATTTTTGCAAATTCAAAGATCACACAACTTCATATATATTTAAATTGTGTGTGCATATTTAATATTACATGAATGTTTTCAGAAAGAGAGGCTCTTTGCACACATCAGCCTATAACAGTATAATATTCATCATATGACTACTACTGGCATAGTTTCTCACACTCGGTTAAGCATGATCCCCTCATCTCCTCAATAGACTTTCTTATAACAAAAAAAGAACAAATTTGTGCGATAATTAATTGTTGTTTCTACCCTAATTGAAACGTTCCACAAACATCCTTTCTTAACATTTTATATTCAACTGGAAATTGCAAGATATTCATATTTCTGAGGTACCAATATGCATTTCTGGTGTACAGCAGAAATTAATCTTTTAAAAATAAGGGATTGCGTATCCATAAAAACTGAAGTTGCTGAGGACATCGAGGCTTTTCTCCATGACTTCTACAAAACATCCTTGTATTTTCAGGTTTCTGCAAGCCACTTACAACATCTGTGCTGGAGAAACAGCAATAAGCACTCAGCAGGCTGAGTGTTCAGAAGGAGGAATCCAAACTATATGCATAGATATGGGTATATGCAGGGGATAGGGAAGAAGGGCAAGAGTCCYGAGCAGCTCACAGTATTCTTGTTTATGCATCAAGAAAAGAGATGGCAGGGAAGCACGTGAACCTGCTGGATGATTTGGGAGGTGAACGAGAAAGGATGTGTGGTATTTTTCAGGACATGCAAGGCGCACGCAGAGCCCCAGAGGAGGAAAGGGAGTAACACGGTGCTCAGGTTGCTTGAGATTAATGGCTAATGGCACGAGAAGCCCTTGAACATTTGCAGTAGGAAAGTACTTGGGGAGCCTGAATTACAGAGCATATGGAGTTTCAAATAATTGGTCTAAGTTGAACAAGAGGGGTGTTTATCCCTTTCAGTTCCCACATATTTTGGTGCTTCTTTTTGTTTGKTTGGTTGGTTTTTTGCCTGCTCTACTGCATACCAGCCTCCTCTCTAAGAGGCTTTTTGTACAAGTTATTAACTCTACAAAGTGTAAAATCCAGCAGGAGTAGAAGGTAGCATTCTCAATGAAATTCTTCCTTCTTTCAAATTCTCACTTTTTTTTTTATAATAACTTTTGAAAGCATTCTCCACTTTCTATTACTCCTCCCATACTAATCCTCTCAGAAAGTGCTTACATTGCCACTACTGAAAGTATGGACATTGCATCTCTAGAAAGCAGCAAATCAGCTGCAACATGTTGTTACATGAACGCTGGAAAATTCCACAGGCAAATAATTGCTTTTTTAAAAGAAGTTTTAAAAGAAGCAGAGGAGGAAAATCACAYACCTGTTGTAAAGAGAAAGTTGTAAACATAGAGATAACAGACATTCCTGGGGGATTAAGTGTATCAGCCTGGGAATGCGGGCCATAATATCTGTATTGATTTGGACACAGGCTTKCCCAGGGTCCCACAAAGACTGTAACAGTATAATGTCACTTACATTAGTATGAAGATAGACTGTAACATTTCCCAGACTGCTCCAATAATCACTATCATTGTACTTTCTAGAGATGTTTCTAGAACCTCTTTATTTGATTAAAATACACAGTTTCATCTATAGGTAGTGGGTTGAATGCCAATACATCAAGTGTTATGCCTTAAAAAACAATCTGAGAGAGGGAGTATGGGAAGCAATCAATAGCAAAACTGCTGCAGTCATCACTTTCTGTAAGTTTTACTCATGGAGATTGCCTTAAGATAATCAATACATTGATTTATACTCTTGAACAGGTTTAGAGCAAATATATTTGGGGTCATTGAAAAAAATCAATATCACTTTCTATCTTGGCAACCACTCAACACGCAATTTTGATTGAAAGAAAAGCAGACAGTCAATTGTTGAATTATACAAGTGAACAGCATCTCTGGAGTGTCCGAATGTAGTTGAGAGAATACCCACCTTTCTTCTAATCAGATGGAAAACATAAGTGAAATAACACAGGCTCATTGAATTTTGAGTTACTTACTATAATGACTTGTATGCTAACAACTGGTGGCTTATCAACAGGTGCCGCAGCTCAGAGATGKGTTAAAAGTGATTAGGAAGCAAATTAGTTCTTCCCACCAACTTCTTAAGCACAGGAAGCAGAAGAGTTAAGATCTACTCAGCGTAGGGATGATTCTATAGCCAGTTTGTCCATTGCTGGTCTRGGCCTGCTGTGATTGCATCACATTGGTGACTTATGTTTTGTCTTTTCCTAAGGCTACAGCTGTAGGTCTGCCTGCTAAAAYCACCTGTTGTGTTAATGCATGTTTTCTTTTACCAGTAAGTTGTTTGTTGTTGTTTTTATTTTAATTCCTGAAAATAAGTTTAAGGTAGTTATTTGTCATCACTGACTATAAAAGAAGTTTAGATGATTGAGACATCTGAGCAAGGGCTGGCTACACCAAGATGAGACAGAGCTCTTCCGAGGTTTTATAAGCGAATATGCTAAAGCCTATTGCTTCTGAGAGAGGGACAACACCCGGAAGTAACTGAAAGCTTTGTTCATGTCTTTATGTGTGGGTTTTGTTTTTTTTTTCTTCCCTTCCCTGGATGCTTTTATCTGTAGCAAATACACAGGGTAAGGCAGGGTGATTTTAAAAAAACTTTCTCTCCTCTGAAGGGAGCTGGTGTCCAGGCCGCTGTGTGCAGGCCACGTGCTAGTCCTACTGGATGTAAAGCCTGCAAGTGCTTCATGTGCCTCCTGGGATGAGAATGAAAGGTCTAAACTGAGCGAGGCATCAAACATATTCTCCTTCTCTCTTTACCCAACAGCTAGTGTGAGTTTTCAGAAAACACTGTTTGCTYGTTTAGACCTCTGTTTGGGGCCACTCTGTAGCGGTATCATAACCTTGTTCTTCACTGCCTTGTTGAGCAGGCGGGGAAACGAAAGCTGCCCCAGCGCTGGGGCTGGCTGACACGGCTGCCCCTCCACAGCTCCCCGCAGCACCTCGGCGGGCAGCTGGGCCAGCGGGTGCAAATACAGCCACGTTTAGCCAGACTGAAACTATGTGGGGACTTCTATAGGAACCTCGTACAAGTAGCTTTGCTACTCCTGTTACTTTTATAGCTTAGTACAACTCCATGAGAAGMAATAGGAACTGAAATGTGAAATTTTGGAAGTCTAGAAAGCAACCTGAAATAAGCAGCTTGGTGCCAAGCTCCAGGATGGCTGGTTTCAAGAAGCTGTAGAGGCAGGTGATGAGGTCCTTTCCAAAGCAAAGCTTACATTCGTCTTATAGCACGCATATTAAGATATACGTAATATATACTTGCATTACGCTCACTTCTCTCGCTTTTCTCGCGCTCGTTTAACCGGAGCGCGATGCCCTCCGCGCCGCTGAGGCGCCGCCGCCAGCGCCCGCCTCCCCTCAGCGCGTGGCCAATGGCCGCCGCCCGCGCGCGTCACGCGGCCCCGCCCGCGCGGCTCGGCCAATGGGCTCGAGGCGCCGCCCCGCGCAGGGGATTCAAACGGCCGTTGGGCCGCGGCCGTTACTGGGCGTGGCCTCCTCTCCCCGCAACGGCCCTCGGTGCCTGAGGGGGCTCCGCGCCGCGCCATGGAGAGCCGCCCGGCGGCCCCGGGCCCCTACCGCGCCACCCAGCTGGTGAGGCGATGCAAGCAAGCGTGGCCCTTTCCGTAAGGGCGCCGGGCTTGGCGGGGACCGGCGCGGGGAGCTGTCAGCGTGCGCGGGGCGGTCGGGGAAGGACGGGCCTCTCGCAGCATCCACGTTCCTCCCAGCCACTTCCTTCGCCTTAGAAACAAATTAGAAAGCTGCTGGTAAAACTTCAGGGGTCCAGCTTGGTCTGCTCGCTCTCCCCGTGAGTTATATCGCAGGGAAGGATCAAATAGTAGTTAGTGGTGGTGGTTTGGGGCTGTGTGTGGGGAGTATTATCTCATTTTCATTGATGTTTGAATGTAGCACGTGGAAACCTAAAAGCTGTGACACCAAAGATGAATTTCTTCCCCTCAGTAAGGCCCTTGTGCTGCAAAGAGCATGGTCCTCGTAACCATTGATATGGGAAGGAGAGGAAAAACAAAGTGATGTAGCTGCCTTCATCCCTGGTAACTAGGCTACTGCCTCCAGCAGCCCTGCCCTACTGCTTGCGGTGCATCCTACAGCATCAGCTGTGTTTTGTGAGTGAATGCAATGAAGCAGCAAAATACACTGCGCTTCCAGTGGTGTCATTGATGCGCTCTCCTTAGTTTCAACTGGGAGAGGTTTGTGAGCTGTAGATTGACAGTAACTGGGTAGATGGAGTTATGCGAGTGATGGACATGTGCATACTGACTCAATGAGATTTTGTCACCTTTCTGAAACTTTATTTTCTYTTATAAAGGCAGGAGATAAAATGGTCATGTATTTTAGTCTGAACTTGAAATATGAAGTATTAATATGGTAAYATTAAAATGAATATTTAATAATGACTATTTAGATTTTTACATTTATATTATTGCTGTATGTTGATTTTTTTCTTATTTAATACGTTAAATCATAAACTTTAGATTTTAATCCTCCATTTATTTTTTGTTTGTTTGTTTTCCATGCAGTGGAATGAAGTTACTAAACATTTCCGAGCAGGGATGCCATTAAGGAAACACAGGCTACATTTCAAGAAACATGGAAGTTGCTTTACTGCCTCAGAAGCCATAGACTGGCTTCATGAAGTATTAAAGAATAATAGTAACTTTGGTCCAGAAGTTACCAGGCAACAGACCATTCAGTTATTAAGGAAATTTCTCAAGAACCATGTAATTGAGGATATAAAAGGAAGATGGGGATCAGAAAATTTAGAAGATAATGGTGGCCTTTACAGGTATTATAAAGACACGCCTGAATTAAGACTAGTCAACAGTGCAGAATTTTATTTAAAACTACTAATGCTTGAGTCTCAAAAAAATCCTGCTTTAATTTGAATAATGAGCCCTGATTCTTTTTTTTTTTTTTTTTAGCACACTATGACTTATAGTCCAGAAATTCCCAATGCTGAGCGATGATAGTGTGCTCGTCGTCTGTCCAGGGTTTTCTCTGGCATATTTAAGGTTTTTGTGGGGAGTCAAAGAGGACTTCTTGTATTAGCTCTGTGCTGTGCTGCCAGTCCTGTGACTGTTTCATCTCTTGCATTCTTTATAGAAAGTCTAAGTGGGGAACAGTGCCTGCCCTAGGTTCTTATGTTAAGAGTATCAATGTCCCTTGCTTCTCAGACTGTAGTCTCTATGCTGTATAAATACTTGAGTGTCTTCATCTTGGCTTTGGAATTGAAAAGTGTAGTCCAAAGCTAACTTAAAATATAATTATCTTAAACATTGTTCTAAAGAAAAATTGTCAGTATTTTGCTTTCTTAATTCACTTCTTCAGAATCTTATGGAATCACAATAGAATATGGTTTTGGTTAAGTAACTTCTTGTGTTTTTAATCTAAATGCTTTTAACATCTCTATAACTGCAGATTTCCTTCAACCTCTCCAGTTAAACCTCTACCAACCTGGTGTCCACCAAAAGAAAATGTTGAAAACTTCTCTAGAGACAAAGAAAAACTTTTAAAATTCCCACATTTATCCAGGAGAACTCTTAAAAAAACAGACATACGGGAGTGTCTGGTAATAACTAAGTTTCTTCTTTTACTACTACTACTATTACACTACTATTTGCAGTGTACTCTAAATTCATATGTAGTGGGAAACAAATTGATTTAATTTTTGAATTAAGAGATTTCAAATTTATTTTACATGTGTACTTATCACTTATCTAATTTGTATAAACCACTCATTTCCAGGAAAACTTAGAAAAAACGAAAACAGATGTACAAGAAGAGAACATGGAAGGCTCCTTGCACAGGAAGGAAATAAGCCMGGAATATGTACACGAAGTTTGGAGAAATATTATTCTGATACAGTAAGTAGTAAACTGTGAAGTGTTGTACAAAGTACTGCCTTGTGTGTAAGTTTTGTCTGTAATGCAAAGATTAGGCTTTTTGATTTGGTTGTTTTTCTGAAAAAGTTTTAAATAATTATGTTTTACTGTGAAAATTTGTACTAAACAGTGCATATGTTTTCTATTAAATTTATTAATATTGAGAAAATTGGATTCAGGAAATCTGTTGAAGATAACTACTTAAGTTATTGAAGTAGTGTTTAAGTCCCATGGCTGCTTGTTTCTTATTGTTTCTTCTGGTGTTTGTTTCTAGAACAAGTGTATTCTCAAGTTGTCCTCTTGTGTATGAGAATTTAGTAAACTGCAAATTCACATATCAAGTAAATGCTTTCTGAATAGAGGTGGAAATAATTTGCATTCATTCTGTATTTACAAACATCTGTTCTCTTCCTCCTGACAGTTTGCAAACCATTTTAGGCCTCCCATCTTTGGAAGAAGTTTTGCAGCCAGCACAGATAATTCCTGAGTATGTCATATACAATATGACTAACACAAGTAAACATGGTGTTGTTATCTTGCAGAACAAATCAGGTTAGACTTTTTTTCTGTTTTTGCTTAAAGTTTCTGAATAATGTAATTATATCAATATTAAATAACATAAAATATTAAATTAAGATAACAAATATTATAGCATGTCATTTATGCTTTCTCCAAATTAAAGAACAATTCAGTGTGTTTGGAACATTTTGTAGGTGTATTGTATTCGCTTTTAGAAGTACACAGGTATAGCAGTATTTCCTCTAAAAAAGCAATTTAATCTCTTAATGTGTTATTTTGTACATGTGTGCCATTATATTGGTTATTAAGTCTTTGTGCTTATGTATAAATAATTTTATTTTAATGTATAAATATTTATTTTAATATATTTATTTTATTTTAGAAGACCTACCTCATTGGGTGTTGTCAGCTATGAAGTGCCTCGCCTACTGTAAGTTATGGAATAGCTCTTAAGTTCAGAAACTTTTGAGAGTTGAAGGTGAAAAATTTTGCATTTTAAGATGAAACATGATACTTGCTGTATATGAATTTTCAAAATTAAGTGTCTTGGCGTACTGAAAAGTGATTAAAGCAATTAATCTCAAGTTACTGCATGCAAATGTAACCATTGAAAGTTAACAGATGTGAAAGATGTCTGGTTGTCAGGTGATGAAGATCTCAATCTTTAACATCTAGCTATTTTTTCTGCTTTCAGTTTGTTGTGTTTGAATTTTTGGCAAAATGAAGTTTAATTTGGTATGAGAAGTGCTAGTGTTCTTTAGGAAATCAATGGGAGAATTTGAGCCTGAAAACTTTCAGTGGAACCATGCTCTTCTAGTCTATAAAACCGATAACTATTACAAAATCCTTATCTGCTTTCCCACCTTTTCCTCTGAACTGTTTTTAGGAAAAGGTTATGTTTAAAGGACACTGAGGTACCTCTTATAGTTTTGTGCTCTTATTCATTTCAGAACCAGTTTGATTTGTTCCTTTTCTTCTCTGTAGCAAAACAGGCAAGATTTATTAACCAAAGATTTTAGATTGAGTTGCTTGCCGGTCTACTTTTGAAGGAAACTAGTTGGATGTTGCTATGACACAACAAAATTTCCTCTTGGTAAACCATTCAAATAGGAGATTTGAGATAAAATAGGGAGGGAGAGAGACCCTCTCAAAAGTTAAGGACACTTAACCTGTTCTGTTTGGCTTTTGCGTAACGTAATGTATTGACTGGCTGCTCAGCATATGCATCATTCAAATTTGGGCGTGGTATGGATTTTTTTCTTGCTCTAGAAGCTGGAGCTGCCTGCTGAGTACAACTCTGACTACGGAATATTTTACATGGTTTTCTGCTTACAAATGTTACACTGTTGACCTAAAACCAAAATATTTGTATACTGCTGACATTTTTTTCTTATTTTAAAATAGTCATTCCTACAAAAATTAAGCTTGTAATGTTGCTTTTTTATAGTATGAAATTGTGAGGATAAAGACTTTTGTAAATTTTATTCTTTCACCTCTTTTTTTAGGGCCTAGAAACAATGACATGAACCAACCAACATACAGTGGGTTTGAAAGAGATGTATTCAGAACAGTTGCTGATTACTTTATTGGTCTCCCTGAACCATTACTTACTTTTGAGTACTATGAACTTTTTGTGAATATTCTAGGTATGTATTAATTTAGAAATAGCTAGTGTAAACTATAAGCATATATCAACTGGGGAAACAAATCTGTAATTCACAGCAGAATTTGACCCCTAATCTTGAATCAGAGGTGTCATCCTTCGTTACA